CACCATGACAAGTTATAGATCAAGTTAATATTTTGTTCCAGTACAATGAATTATGAACCGGTCGTGACTATGTATTGCAATGCATTACTTTCAGAATGCTTGTTTTGATAGAACTCCTTTCTCTAGAGATCAGTTTAGGAGTCCTAAAATAGTCACTGAATATTTTCGGATTAAGTCAAGGGAAACAAAGTTCTCGTTTCTTCAGGAAAGGCGCTGCTACGGAGCTGCCATAAATGTTTGACCTGATTCTAAACCTCAGGCAATGTATAGATGGAAGTCTATGTCATTTCGTTTATATATTCAAATACAACAATGGGTATAACTGTTTGAATTTTTTCTAATCTTCTGTTTAGAACTTGCAATTACTTTAGTAATATTAACCGTTATGTAAGATTAGCAGTTTCGCCAGTAATCATTAGAGTTTGGTTTCCACCTTTGTAGAAAACGAATTTATTCAAGTTGGGAATATACCAGGTGGCATTCATCTTGTACACGATTAAACTGGAATTCGGTTTTCAATATCTCTAATTTTACACATATGTAGATACGCGGAATTGATTGAGTTGACAATACGACAGGAGTATAACATATAAGATGTGGGAAAATACTGTGAATATAGTTTCTGCTCTTTTACTGAATATCAGATTGTTGTGGTCTTAAGTTTGCCAAATAAACATGACAGTCAGTATTCCGTAGTAACAGAAACAATGAAGAAACAAAGCCAAGGCTCCGTGTTGAAGACCGTACTATGACCTATAATGGTTTACTTTTATAAATTTTTACTTGGATGGAGAGTTGACTCATTGGCACTCATACCACATCTTCTTATATCTATTAGAACCAGAAAGAGGATAATCAGCTGGCTGGCTAGTTTGATCATTCGTCAAGGGGGATATTGCAATCAATACATACGATACTCCGATGCATCTCCCAATTCCATATTTAAATGCCAAGATGGTGAACATTTGACTCATATTGGTAATACATTTTGCTTACCACATTTCAAGGCGCGGTAGAAGCCTTTCTTGTCTACACACCACATACTTTCCACAATGTTTATTAAGAAATTGCATGATATTCATTAAAATTCAGTTATCGTTAGGGTTTAAATATATGACTCCTTTATATTGTATTTGGCTCACAGCTTCTACGCAGCTCTATCCGCTTTTAATGGCGGTTGACCCGACAATGATTTATGACTGTCTTGGTCAATTTGGCACATTTCGCTGCGTTTCCTTTAAATATGCGTCATTTGGCGTCATATTTCATTTAGCATCAGAAACATTTGATATTGTGGGTCTCTGTATCCCAGGACCACCACACAAAAATTTACGAATCTCTGTTTCCCAGGATTCATTTAATTGGATGCTTCATTTATTGTAAAGAATTAGTTATCTAGTTATCTATCTATCTATCTAGTTATCTTTTTGTAGTCTGCCAATATGAAAGGTGACTACGTTGAATTAATTATCTATTTACTATATATATATATATCTTAATTATTCATCTATTTAGTTATCTAGTTATCGTGTCGTAGTTTGCCAATATGAAAGGTGACTACGTTCATTCAAATATCTATTTTCTATACATATATATATCGTAACTGTTTACCTAGTTATATGTGTTTATAATTTTATAATAAAGCTGTGGCCAAATACTGCCAATACCGTGTTTCTTATCTTTGCGCATCAATAATAACCATATATAGTTAAGACCTATGGTCTTTTGATTTGAAGCCCTCGGTTTATGACCTTGAAATTGAGCTAAAGGTCATAGGTAAATTTGAAGTTTTAGATTTTAACCTTTGCTTTTACCTCGTATGTATACGTGATAAAGCCATAGGACTTTTTGCATTACGTTGCAAGCCACTTGACCACAGAAAAGCCAACCGGAAGTGACCTTGTGTAAACCGGAAGTAGCTATTTGTTGTACTTATTTATTGTAAAAGTATATTAAACCATATATTTTTGGAATCAGTATCAAGTAAACTATCAAATAAAACCGGAAGTGACATCTTTCTAACCGGAAGTAACAATTTATCTCCCTTATTTTGAAAAAATGTATAGAAACCATGTATTTTTGGAATCAGTGTACAATAAACTATTTTTAGACGCTGAATATGATATTTTAAACCAAATTTTAAGAGTTCTATTTCAAAATAGATCTTTATGAGTGGAAAGACCTTCAATTGTTCTCTGAACAATTGGTTTTTAATTTCATATGTATTACATATTCATTTTTTTTTTAATTTATCATGGAGGACGAGCATTGAGTCTGAGTTAAATGCAATCTTAGGGATTCATAATAACTCATCATGTATTGTATATAAGTAAACTTCCATTAATCTCCCTTATTTTGAAAAAAATGTATAGAAACCATGTACTTTTGGAATCAGTGTACAATAAACTATCATTAGACGCTGAATATGATATTTTAAACCAAATTTTAAAAGTTCTATTTCAAAATAGATCTTTATGAGTGGAAAGACCTTCAATTGTTCTCTGAACAATTGGTTTTTAATTTCAATTGTATTACATATTCATTTTTTTAATTTAATTTATCATGGAGGACGAGCATTGAGTCTGAGTTAAAATGCAATCTTAGGAATTCATAATAACTCATCATGTATTGTATATAAGTAAACTTCCATTAATCAAAATAATTGAAGAGTTCAAACTAATGCAAAGTCACGCACGAATTTTGAGAAGGCTGCAAAGTTACAGAAAACAACCACATGTTAGTTATACAAAAATATTTTATATTTTCCATAATACAATACAAATCTAACAAAGCGATTTAAAGCGTTGTATTTGCTGTTGTTCGTATGCTTTATTCTATGTTTATAATAACAAATAACTAATAATGCAGTGCTTTCGCTTTTCGTGCCGCTTCCCATATTGTTCTTAGTATATTTTTTTGCTAGAAACAAACATTTATTTTCGGCACCGTATCACTATCTTAGTGTAATTTTGAAACTATTAATTTGTTAAATGGGCAACGCGAATGTTCTTCTTCAAGTCGATTGTCGTCAAACATTTATTGTCCTGTATGAAAGAGACATTTGCTTATTACATGGGAGATCACTTTTTTGGATACGTGAATGTTTGCGTTACTCGATTTTGGTCGTCTCAGGATTCACAGTAAGTAAGGAGAGTATGTGTGCTGTTCCAATGCTCAAATTTGTTAATCTGAAGGGGAAATATACTTCGACTTAGATGTGATCAGCTCTTTATATGTCACGAGATGTTTGTTGAATTAAGATTTTCTATTAATAAGTATCTTGTCAATGTATACTTTTGAATGCTCTCTTTGTCTTTCAATTTACATTGTTTGTATACAATTATTTAGACATATACATATGTATTAGCATGCTGCCTGTAGCATCAATTATTTATTGAGCTTTTATTAAAATGTAATTAAACTTGCTTTTGTAAGTTACTGACACGCTGTTTGAATAATATTGTAATGATCAGTTTTTAAAATATTTTTTGAAGAAAAACGGATTTGAGTTCATAGACTTAATTTATACATACGATTTATCACTTATATTACCTTATCAGTCTCTACAGATGCAAGTTACGTCTTTAATTTTGTACGTTATTTACTCCAGTCACAATGGTGATTGATTGAGAGATTAACTGATTGATTGTTCGGTTGATAAATGAATTGATCTTTTAATTTATAAATTGTTAGTATACTTCATTATGACTCCAGTTAATATCATTTAGGGAGAATTAACTCTCTATAATTGTGTCTTTTTTTAAATGCTAATGCGTGTTGGTAATTTTGATTCGAAAGCAACTAATTACATTATAGATTTATATGTTAATGGTAGATAGTATTATGCTCTTACATGTTCCCATTATTATCTGAATTATTTATACGTATATCATACGCTGGTTTTATTTAGGAACAATCCTACCCTTCAGTACAGGTTGAATTTTATTTACAAGTATGTACATTTTCACGTTTCAGAAACATAACATTCCATTGAAAGGCATGTAGGCTAGAAAGATATATTCATACGATTTTAAATCTACTGAGATACCAAGCTACCAAAACTTAAATTACATTACTTCTTGCTCTTTATGCATTTTTTGTATTTTTTTTTATCCTAACTGATAAAAAACGATATCGTTAATCGTCAGATTTCACCGGATCTCTTCAACTTTCAAAAATATTATTAACATTAATTTTTTATGTTAATTAGACCAAAAAATGCCTGATTTTCTGTATCAGTGCTATGTAGTGGTCAACAGTAAATCAGAGAATTAGTCCAAATTAAGTTGTTCAAATGACACCTAATCCAATGATTTTCCTGATATGCTGGTACTCTTATTGTACATGTACTTGTTTTCTTTTTTTATTATTTAATATTATATTTTATTGCGTCCTGATTTTATTTCGCACGGTGTCATAAGGACATTATTGCTACTTACGCCCAAACGTCAATACTTAGAATTTTGCATAACTTATAACATGATACAATTTTAATATAAAATTTCAGTTTTTCAATTATGATATAAGTCATAAAATGAAGTTTGCTGCTCTTTTTACAAATCTCTCCCTTGACAGTATTATTGGTTTATTATGTACATGATGTAGTGTATGTATAGATGATAATTTTAGAGTAACACAACCTATCCACAGTTGATCAGTTAAGTAATAGATAATTGAAGCCTCACTTTCGCTGGAATCTTACATTCAATTAATATTACCCGGTTACAAAAGACAAAAATATTGACATTGCGCATATAGAAAATCATTATGTTTAATTTAAATCAAATATTATAATGATGAGTTGCTATACATTATGACAAACTGTTTTAAGATGTCATAATTTAGAGGGCATCCTTACTTGTTAGCAATACTTTTATTGATGTGTTGTTTAAACAGAATGCTAAAAAATTACTATATCAGTATTACCAAATGTATTCACATCATGTTACACATATTCTTGAAGCAATAGTACCAAGATTAAAAGCTGTAACCATACTTACATTTATTACAGTATTGTCCAGCTCGGCCAAGTGCACACCCTCCAAAGCAAACACCTGTATTGGTAAAACAATTAGTCATGCAGTTTGTAGGGTCACAACTCCAAACGCAATTCCCATTTGCAGGATAACAATGTTGGTCAATACAATTTGGTGGACATGGTTTTTCACACTTTTCTCCCCAGAAACCTTTCCAACATCCTATAAGTAGACAATTTGCGTACTACCAAAATTTAGTAATATCATATCGGTGAACACGTTTGTATTTGTAATAAAAGACTATACCGTTATGGTGGTTCTTGACGCTAGAATCGACACAATGATTAATATATGTGCATATTGACAGCAAAATTACTTTCCTTTCACTGATGATTTTTTGTAGACGAAAAGCGCGTCTGGCGTACATCTAGCCTGGTATCTATGATGTGTTTAATGGTTTCATACATGTGAAAATTTCAAACAAATAAGACATACTCGATTGAGTTAAATGCGAAGAAACACAGCTAAATGGAATTTAACTGCACGTTATATACAGCAGCGACGCACATGAAATGAGATTAGCACCATTATTATATGCATGCTTATTTTATATATTTCCAAAGGTTGTCTTTCTGTATGATATTCAATCTTACAAGAAACAATATTCCGTCCATTTTTTTTTATATTAGATTGTTTTAGGAATGTTGGTTGAGTCGTGTATTTGTAGTATGTTAGTATTCGAATTTTGTGCGTGTACCAAGTCCGGTTTATTGATCATGGTCAATGGAAAAGGAACGAAAAAAAATAATAAAAAGACTACAACACACCGCACACAATCCGTAATATTGAACCCCACCAAAACTGTAAGCGACTGCAGATGCTCCGGCTGGGCGGGGGAGGTAGGGGAAGTGGAAGTATGGTAAAGAGCTCTTTTGCAAGGACAGGAGATGAACTGAGGAATAAACTTAAAATACTTGTTAAAATAACAAAAAAATAATTTATATTTGTATGTGTGAAGGAAGAAATTATAATATCAATAATATTGGGCATTGTATCTCTCATTTTTGGAGTATTATATATATTCATCCCTTTATACCACAATGTATGGATATGAGACAATTCATTGTCATCGCATTCTAGTATTGCGCATTATCATGTACTCGAGAAAAAAATGCATCGTTTTAATTAAGAGATGTTATGCCCTCCTTTATTCTGAACTTGCTGTTGTATTTTCCACTAAACTTTAGCCAAGGCGTATTAATTCATCCTTGGTCATGTTAACATTGATATGAAATTGCAAACACTCGGTCGATCAAATTGTCTCACCTATTTAATATTTATTTAACTTTTCACTTTTAAAAAAGATGAGTTAATGATTGTAAAAACATGTTGTAATTTATAGAAACAATCTTTACCATTTTGCGTATTTACAATCTTTAGTAATTATGAATAGGAATATCGAAGTAGCTATGAACAGATTAAACAGAAGCAGTAATTTTCAGTAGCCTCGAGCTCTCCACACACAGTGGTCATAATCTGAAACTTTACATTGCTTCTTTCAATTTGCATTCGGACATTACAAGCTGTAGCGTACGTGTGAAATACTAAAGTACATATAATTTGTCAAAATTCACTTTTATATGATTCATAAAATAACAACAATAATATTATAATCAAGATACAAAAATATATATATGATATTATAGAGCAATGGAAATGCCGTTTGTATATAAAGGAGATACTGCACTGGATCACAATGTGTATCTAAACATTTATTTAATCGTATTCACGATCAGGTGTATATTCCGTAATAAACTTTTGATTTTGGCGAATAATATATCTGCCTTGAGGGGAAGTATTCGGTTAAAACTGGATATGAATTCACGCAATAGTAATTCCCTGAGAGATAAAGACAAATAGCCGTCATGTAACATAAGTTCGGTTTTATTATAAACTGTTACAATTGTATTATCTTCATTATCTTAATTCAGATTACGTGTTTAGTAAAAAAAATATGGCATGTAAATTGTTGATATCATTGAATTTGAAGTGCAAATAGTTCTTTCGTTTTATGCCCGTTTAAATATTCGTTGTGTATCTCTTTTACGTAAACATTGTAAAATATTGTACTTTTCATTTATTATAGTGTATAAATTTTACTGGTTAACTTCTGGTTTAATTAAAAAAATATTTGTTACATTTACAATTACTAACATTGCACTTTGGTAAACTGGTTATACTAACTGGGATATGATAACATAGAAAAATGAAGACAACATAACAGTCTGTCATGTCATCAAAAAAATACAACGAAGCATTGGTCGTATATGTTACCTTGATACTACTCAAAACAGCTTGTGTGACTAAGTCAATACGACGACTAACATGACTAAGTGGAGTCAACAATTAATTAGTCAACAACATGGATCGCAAAACATAACGACAATGCTTAACACTACGAGAGATATGATGAAAAATATGAAGAAAAGTAAAATTCAGCAGATACTGCACACCTAGATGGGAATCCTAGACAACCACATGCATTAGTAAACGAATATTGTCTAAAAAAGGCCTTATGATCTGAACAGCTCTTAGAAGACTGAACATCTCTTAAAAGACTGAGCTTACTGTTCGGTGTGAGCCAAGGCTCCGTGTTGAAGACCGTACTGTGACCTATAATGGTTTACTTTTATAAATTTTTACTTGGATGGAGAGTTGTCTCGTTGGCACTCATACCACATCTTCTTATATCTATGAACAATACATTATTAAGTTATTTTCAATTTTCGTTCAAATTTCAGACGTATCAACTGCGGTCAATTCAGTACTGTTCAGACCATTCGCTTGCATTTAATTAAATCTGTTCAGTCGTTGTTCATATTTGTTCAGTAGTTGTTATTTAACTGTACAGATCACTAACGAATTGAATTATCTGAACAGCTACTCAACAGTACTGAATTGACTGCATGCAAGTCGACTGAACAGTACTGAATTTACCGAAGTCAATTAATCTGACAATTGACTAAAAGACTGAACATGACTAAATAATTTATTGTCAGATTTTTCAGATGATGATAAGATAAAAATGACCGTTTCAGACTAAAATTTGATTACCCTAAAAAGATTAATGAGCCTCTGCCGAGAAACGGGACAATTTCTGTCAGGAGCTGGAAACTCTGTAAAGAAATATAATTTCAGTTACTAAAAGTCGTCGAAACGCCTCCTATCGTGCTCCGGAAAATGACAGCAGCATATGAAACTTCGGTACATGTACATTCCTGCACTAAGTAGCGAAGATTCACCTGTAATTATTAAGACTTTCGGAAGGAAACCAGAATGTTTGACATTCTAACGTACATAATCACATGTAACTCCATAGGAGAGATTCAGCAAACCTGGTAAAAGAAATGCTCTACTATCATTGCATAGTTTTGGATTAGGCTAGGTCCACAAAAACCAAATCCTCAAAGAGCAAGAAACCCATAATAATGGGGTGCTTTTCAGTCTCTAATATCATGCCTACAAAGAAGGAATCGTGCCAAAGCAAAAGCTGCTAGAAAAAAATCGCATTTGGTGAAAAACAAGACAATCCTTTAACAGAAAGCTAAAGTATATTGTAGAAGAAGGGGTTCTATATAGGCAAAACGAGATAAAAGCTGAAATAAAAGAAGAAGACACACGAATGACACTACATTACGCTTCATTGTCAAAATGGAACAAGAGGCCACACGTAGAAAATCAGAAATAGAACAAGAGGTTGCCTGTATGCAGGAATACTGCAAAAGAACATGTAGCCGATTGTTCATTACACGAGAAAGCTGCGATAAAGGCCACTTTTAACCTTCAAGAGACTTACAGAGAAGCCTTAATGGCCAACACCCCTATCAAAGAATTCGAAGATAGTCAAGCTATTGGGTTATCATTCTTACCGGACTAAAGACTCATTCAAAGACATGTACAATACGTCCTCAATCAACTTCTTGACTGTGGCTGAACTTATTCATAATGCACTTGAATTTGCGACACAACGCATGCATCGGAATAAAGAGTGCAGCAATAAACAAAACACAAATCACGAGGTTGCAACCACCTACAAGTTCACTGTTCGGCTCTCCAGGAGCAACCGACGACGGGAAACCGACAAAATCAGTTGAAACTAAGTTAACAATTCCTTTATTCCTCTTGCCTGGTCTGAATTCTTCGGTCTATTTGACGTTAAGGATAAACTGGGAAACTACACTGGTCTGGCAGATTAGTAACTTCCGGAAAAGTGGCAGCGGGTTTGTCATAACAATAATGTGTGGTTATGTAAGATACAATATGTCTGTATGAATAGAATTTGATCACATTATCATTAATTGGGACTACATTCCTATACCTGAAATCAAAATGCATCATCCTCACATCATGCTCATACATTGTTGTCGATATAATGGAATTATATGCGACTGTCATACAAATGAGAGGTTTAGCTAGCTATAAAACCAGGTTTAATGCTTCGCTGTGACTTTAAGAGATTAAGAACAGCAATACAAGCACTGTTCCTTTACTTATTGTGTGTTTGTTTGCTGTGCATGTACTAATTTTGTGTCATGGATCGATACCCCATATCCTTTGTTTTTCCATTAATTCACCATTTTCTACATAAGGAAATGCCTGTACCAAGTCAGGAACATGACAGTTGTTTTCCATTCGTTTGATGTGTTTGAGCTTTTGATTTTGCCATTTGATAAAGGACTTTACGTTTTGAATTTTCCTTAAAGTGGGATCTTGGTTGTTATTTTACTTTTTAATTGCGCTTAGTGAAAGCATTCCATTGATTGATTAACATCAACAAATTTTACTCTTAAAACTGAGAAACCCTATAAAGGCACACAACGTCCTTGTCTAATGCTAAGGGACACCTAGATAATAATGTCCAACAACTGAAACTGGAAAAGATAATAATATGAGTGACTCGAATTAACTAGCAACTCAATCCTCCCGAATTAAACAAACATAACCAATATTTTGCTATTGCTGCTAACAGCTAACAGTGTTTATTATTCGCTTATATGTATACCTTCGGTGGTTATACATGGAAATTGAAAATAATTCTCAAATATTGCCATAAACAATAATTAAAATCAACCATTATCTGATGAAACTACTACTAAATAGATATATTAGAGATATACTCTGAGGTCGATTGAAACTTTACTCATTCAATGCACTGAAGAGTGTTTGCACTTTTCGACGCCTGGAACTATGTGCCGCTGTGCTAGCTGTGGAGATCGCACAATTCTTCTAAAAGAATATAGAATTCCCAATACCAACATGGAAATACTATACAGAAGGTAGAGTGGTCTAAGGCTACATCATATGAAACAAAGAAATTACTTTTCAGGAAAAAGGTCAGTAAGAATCGTTAACATAATATTTTTCCAGATGAAATAATTGCTGTTTATTTGGATTATGCGGTAATCTCATGTACTGAGTCTAATCATTACAAACATACACTTACAAAACCAAGGAATTATACAATACTATAACCACCTAAGTCAAAGGTTAAACAACCAAAGCTTAAAACACACAATATAATTCCATAGAATCGTTGGTACTTTATTTCTACCAAAAAGGTTTTTACTAAAGGATTCGGGAAACTGTAAAACAATAAAAGCCTCGAAAGAAAAGTTGGACACATAGAACGACTATTACAGATGACACAACATAGAAAACTAAAGACTAAAAACTGGGGGTGATCTCAGGTGCTCCGGAAGGGTAAACAGATACTGCTCCACATGTGGCACCCGTCGTGTTTATGTTATTACAAATCCGGTAAATAGTCTAATTCGGTAGGTCACATTCGTGAAAAGGGAAGGGTATTGTAGTTACGACATAAGGAACATATCCGATATCATCTGTAAAACGGTTATTCCATAACGGTCAACCAACTCGTGATGGCGTCCGTAAAATTTACGAAGGGATGATTTCAACTTCACCATTTGGAACTCTTGGTTTAATAGCTTCCTTGTGAGCAGCAATCCTCTATTAAGGAAATCATGATAGTAAATACAAGCCCGGAATATCGTATCAATTGGGAGATATATACTCCGTATGCAGGCGCTGCTGGAATGTTGCTACATAGAAATGGAAAGTTCACAATTGGGAAGCTGAAATCATCTCTTTTGTCATAAAGTTTTGTTTTCAACCGACCCTCATTGTCAATTTCTAGATGTAAGTCAAGATATGAAGCAGACGTAACTGTGTCTGTAGTATCCTTTATGTTTAGTTTGATGGGATAGATTCGTTCAACATAGTCACCAAATTTTGTATTATTTAGTGAGACAACATCATCTATATAACAGAACGTAAAGTTAAAGGATATTGCTAATTTTTTATCTTTCTTCCTAAGAAGTTCCTGTATGAAGTCAGCCTCATAATAATAAAGAAACAAGTCGGAAGAAAGAGGGGCACAATTGGTTCACATTGGAATTCCGACAGTCTGTTGAAAAACGCGTCCTCCAAACGTAACAGATTAAATATGTTGTCAATCAAGAAATCAAGCATCTTGATAATGTCAGTTTCAGAGAATTTTTTGTTTGAATCAGAGTGATTCTTTACAAAGTAGGATTTATCCCTCCCCAAGACAAGATACTTGTATTTACGTTCGCCATTCTTTTTAATGAAACAAAGTAATACCAACTCTTTCAATTTGTCTTTTAGTTTGAAATTGGGAATATTTGTGTAAACTGTAGAAAAGTCAAATGTTTTAAAACTATTGCAAGATAAGAGAGTCTTAGATTGTATGTACTCTAAAAGATCTTTGGAATTTTTAAGTATCCACATCTAATTCACGCCACCTCTAGAATAGGCAGTTTCACAATAACTTTGGAGCCCGGCTTTGATTGCTGATAAAATAGATGTTAATAATTTAGATAGAGGTTTCGTGGAGCACTTGGAAAACCCAGCAATATACCGTTGTTTGTAAGGACACTTATGTAGTTTAACTCAAACCCTCTAAAAGTATCAAGGTATGCTGATATGAAATTATATAAGACAAATCCTAAACTGGATATTAAGTATAAAGGTCGTTTGAGTTACACAATTAGAACTGCAAGAGAGACCTATTAGCAATTGTATTTACTGGAAGTTCAAGACACTATACATCTATTAACGTGAAGTAATATGAACTGTACAGTTTGTCCTTGACATTGCAGAAAATCATGTATTCCTATACTACTTCTGATGTTACTTTATGAAATATTTCATGAAGTACATTTTTCGTTTGCTTGTATAATTTCATATCAACATGCTTAGTACATTGATCTTTGTATCAGTAACTGCAAGCATTCTTTGGAACGGTATATTATTATTGTTTTGTTTTGATGTACTTATAATCAGATTGTGTCCCTATTCTAGTGTTACAAAAAAGTAGTTTAGTTAATGGCTTTCCATGTACTACGTGATACAATGCAGAATCGACATAACCTACATACATAACCGTTTACCTGTCCCAAGAATAAAACGTCGTCAGTGGTTGTTTTAATGTATGTTATGTCAAACGTAAAGATGTGTTGATTGCTTTTTTTATTTATTGTAAAATGTGGTGTTGATATTCGAAATAAATAAAAAGGCACGTTTTTTTTTTAGATTTGTTTTTATGTGCTATTACATTACTGTCAAAGGTTGGGGATGAATGTGCCCCCGAAAACATGCTTAACCCTGCAACATTCTAAATGTGGTTGTCCTAAGTCCGGAACCTTAAATTGTGTGGTTGTCGTATAATGCTGTTTATCATATTTGTTTTTTTTAATGTTTTGTACAGTTTGGTCTTGTGTTGTTCTATTGCACCACTGTCCCAGATTTGGGGGGAGGAATGGACGTCCGCTAAAATGTTTAACTCCCGCCACATTCTGTATGTTCCTGTTCTAAGTCAGGAGCCTGTAATTCAGTGGTTGTTGTTTTTGCTGTATATCATTTTTTTTTCTTATTGTTTTATACATCTTATACATAAATCAGTTAGTTTTTTTACTTTTAGATTGTTTTACTTTGTCATTTCTGGTCTTTCAATTTTTTGGTTTTTCTCATTGTTGAAGGCTGTACGGTGACCCTTACAGTTGTCTCATTAGCAATGTTATTACATCTTTCTATTTTCAAACTCACTTTTCCATTACAACTCAGTTGTATCAAATATATACTAATTTCAATGATGTTCTTTCTTGAGTCCGAATTAGTTGTTCTATTGAAATAATGTTATCATTGTGTATTTTGCAGACGCTGGATTGCATTTCTTTCAAAGATACGATAACGATACGATGTGCATTTTTATTATTTTTTTGTGGGTTGTAACGTTTGTTTATGTTATGGTTGTTTATCATATTTCCAACCATGCATTTAGTGATCTGAACACACTAAGTAGCTGTTTGCAATTAGTATTTCAACATGGGCTAAACATATTCTCGTTTCAGCCTTTAAATTATTAAAGCCAAACACAGCAGAAATTTAATTTGTATTTAAGATGTTTGATCATTAGTAAACTTGTTATTCAAACATAAAATATTAATTTTTCGTAATGTTATGATGTGCAGAATCTATATTATCAAATTTAAAACTTCTTTATTTACTACATATACCAAAAACTAGGAAGCACTACATGTAAAGTTGAATCTGTTCTTCATAACCTGTCATAAAACCTAGAACTGTTTTGTAGTAAAACTGTTCAAAGATGGAACTGCGAGTATCAATTCGAGAGTAGAACTTTTTAAACATGTTCAAAGATGGAACTGTGAGTATCAATTCTAGAGTAGAACTGTTAAAATCTGTTCTTAGATAGAAATGTCAGGATCAGTTCTAGAGAAACAAAAACAAAGATCGTTTAAGGTATACAATTAACATTGCAAGAGTAAACCTTTTGGCAATTAAATTTATCCGGAATTCAAGATTGTACAGAGTTGGTTCACGACATTGCAGAAAATCGTGTTTGTATATAAATAAATTGTTTGATTCTGATTCTTAAATTCTTGACAAAATAGTTTGAAAAGGGAGTTAAAATACGGGTCGTTTCCATTTACATGATTTAAAATTGTAGGAAACAACATTTTAAATTGTTTTTCTAGTTTCTGTATGTTATTGACAAAAATATCTGTTTTTTTTTTTATAAAAGTCGAGCAAAATTGTTTTTTTTTTTCGCCGAGAGAGAAAACATGATCCATAAAAAAAAGATGAATAGTGGATACCTTAGACATGTTAGATTCTATCATTGATATATTGTTAAGACTCCTGTCTACTTTAGAAGTCTAGATGTCTAATGATATTCTAGTTGTTTGGTTTCGGTTTTTTATTGACGATTACACTTCATTTCCTTTTTAAATTCCTAATGCAATAACATTAACGGTGTTGTTTAATACTTTACCATATATCTCTATGTAACATAATTCGATGAAAGTATTCATCCCATTTCTGTTGAAGAAATATACATTCTTGGTAGGGCTATTATCACAATCGATACTCTGATTCAGGTTATAGTAGGATTGTTTTAACCGATCTCTGTAGCACAGTTCAGATTGTGAATATATAGAGCCATTTGCAAGGTACAACCGGAAATCATTCATGCGTGCTGGCACTGTAAAACAAATAATATGGTCAAAATCGAAAAAAATAACAGTCAAAGATTGAATGTCCTTTTTTTTCTATATCTAACAATAACAGAAACGAACAAAGAGAGGAGGAAAGGAACAAAAGGAGGATTATTTAAGTCTGACTTAAAGGAATCACTAACTGAGTGAATTCCACTTCGAAATGAAAATAAAGAGACACCTCAACCAGATGAATAAAATCTCCGCAAAAAATTACAAAAAAAGATCGATAACAAATGTGATAGAAAGGTAAAAGTTGAAATGCCTACTTGATGAGAACGAAAATAGGAAGAAGTATTCGGATATGAACTCAAAAGTTCATTGCTTATAAAAAATGAAACACACTAAAAAGTAGAATAACAAAAATACCGAACACCAAGGAAAATTCAAAACTGAAAGTCAATTATCAAATGGCAAATAAAAAAGCTCAAACACATCAAACAAATGGAAAACAACTGTCATATTCCTGACTTGGTACATGGACGGTCGAACTGATTTGACATGACCACGGATATACGGAAACAAATTATATTAAGAAATGTTCATGCACAATCTTCTAGACATTAACAAATGAAGTTCATCATAAGATTGCTTTTGATGTCCGTGTAACGTTTTAAAATTCAAATTGAGAAAGTTCATGTATGATCAGATCATTTATCTTAGCCCTTGAAATTGAACAATCAAAAAGTATCATAAATCTTTCAAATAACGCACTTCACATATTCATAAGACATTGGTCTATCATGTTTCAATTGTTATAATGTTTTAAATTAATTTGTTTCTAATATATTTGCTCATATTTAATTTTCCCATAAACTACGAGTAAAATGGCTCTTTTATAACAAATATGTCCAATATTGCCATGTTTATGGTATCATCCTGACATACCAAATGATTTTTATCAAATGAAGTGTCCAGATTATATTATCCTTACCATCATTAATAAACTTAACCGTGTTAACATAACTTTCCGAATGTGACCTACCGAAATATACCTATCACCAGGTTTGTATTTACATGAACAACACAACAGGTGCCACATGTGGAGCACTATCTGCTTACCATTCCGGTGCACTTGAGATCATCCCGTTTTTTTTTGGTGAGATTAGTGTTGCTCAGTCGTTAGTTTACTATGTTGTGTTTTGTGTTTTGTGTACTGTTGTTTGTGTTTTGGTCTTTTTCTTTTTTTGCCATGGCGTTGTCAGTTTATTTTCGACTTCGATTTTAAATGTCCCTTTGCTATGTTTCGCCTCTGTTTTACATAGGATTAAACAGTTCAATTTATTCGCATCTTGAGGAGCAGGTCATGACACTAATTATGCATACATTTTTTTTGGTAACAAGGTGATAGTTTTTTGTTCTATTCGTCATGCCTTAATTTTCAAGTGGAAGTAATAAAATCACAATCTTCCCATTTGTAGACACACTAGCAAAACCTTTTGTATCGTTTATCCATTGTTTATCATGCAATAATTGCCATATCGTCAACCTATCAACAGTCAATCAATCAATCAATCAAAAAGCAGAAAAAAGGTTTGTCTTAGTGTGTCAGTCAAATACAAAGCAGGGCATATCTTCTTATTGTATTAACATGGTGCCGTCCCTCGTATATATGTAATATTTGTTATTGGACGTTAAATGTAACATCAGACATTTTGTATTAAATGACATAACAAGTACAATCGAATTGAACGGATTTGTGTCTAGACTTTCCATAGATACTACATGTAATAGTTGATGTAACTATTTTTTCGTTCCCCCGCAAAGTAGCAAGGGAGGGATATGGTAATGCTTCCATTCGTCAGTTCTTTTGTATTCGGCCCCTCCGTCCGTTTGTCATCTGTCCATCCGTCCATCCGTCCGTCCGTTCGTACATCCATCCATCCATCCATCCGTCCTTCCGTCTGTGCGTTCATCAACACTTTTTTCGATAACTCAAATCCGTTTTAACCAATTCTTATATAATTTTAACACAACATCGGAATTGACGGAAGAAAGCTCCCTTTCGATTTTAAAATTTGTTTGGTTTTGTAATTCCAGAGTGTTGGAGCTTTGAACCTTTTGTTTAAGACAATTTTTCACAAATCGTGTACGTACTCCAGCATTCCTAAATTGATATCCTCCAAACTGAAAGTTATTGTAGGAATTGATGACAGGAAGCTCCCTAGGAATATTTTATTTTCCGTTTTGTCGTTCCTTAGTTACGGAACTTTGACCCTTAGATTTAAGGCAATCTTTCAAAATCGCACACTAAATCCAGTTTTTGATTGTTCCTCCAAACTTTATTTTGTTGTCGGAATTTATAAATTGAAGCTCCCTTGTTTTTGTTTTTGCTTTTATTTTCCAGTTTTTCGTTCCGGAGTAACAAAACTTTGACCTTTAGATTAAATTCTATTTTTCACAAATCTATCACTAATTCCAGTATTTCTACATTGATTTCCTCCATACTATACATTACTGTAGGGACTGCATCGAAGCTCTCATTTGAGTTTTTTTCCCCATTTTGTCACTCCAGACTTAATTACCCGATTTAAGTAAATGTTTTCACATTTGTTACCAAATTTTTAGTTTGCTTGGATTGATTGAGTGAAATTTTACATACTTGTTGAAATTGGTATAGTGAACATAACACAACGTTTGATTTAAAAAAAAACAGTTTCCTCAGGCATGTTTTTTCTACAGAGCCATTTTACTTGCCTAAGATTAACTGCCATCGAAATATCTCATTTTGTTCTTGCAACACTATCAATATACACAATAAGGGTGTATCATGCGCTCTTGGCGAAGCTGTTTATGCAATGTTATCATTCTTTCTTTTTGATAGCTGAACATATGCCGATCCACTCTTTAACTTAAACTCAAATCAAAGGTCGACTGCATACGGATTCAAATGAAAGTGAATAATTTCCTTCCAAGCCGATGATACACGAACCAGGTTTTGAGCATATTTTTAACAAAATAAAGCAAACCGACTGAATATATCGCGAAAAGCATTTCAAAATTCCTATTATAAATGTTTGAAACAAAATTAATTATATTTTAAGTGTTTGTCTAATTTCCTTTAAAACCATTTACACGATAGTACATGTTTTATGGTAAACTTTGGAGGTATTCTCTAAAAATTTACATGAAAGGGAAAATGTTATAAAACTAAGCTATACTACGTTTTGGAAAAGAGTTTATTTCCAAAATTGTTGATAACTTCTGTTATCATTTATCAAAAGGTGAACGAAAACATTTTTTTATGGTTAAATCACATAAAAAATATTCTTAACGAAGGTGGCTCGGTATTTATACATCCCGTCATTGTGTTTGTGCTATGGTCTTTTATATTTTTATTGTCTTACATTTTTGCTTATGCTATATGTCTATAGAGTGTCTATCATGTCTATAAGAAATTTTGATTTTCTTTGTTGACATATTTCTTTGTTTTTATAATGATTAAGAATATAACACAAAGTTTACTGTTGTACCCAAATTGTTTACAGTGTTACCTTTGATATATTATATTATGTATGTTTGTTTTCTTCACACTTTTTGTGCCAATATAACATGTATAATGGAATTTTATGCGTCTGTCATACAAGTGAGTAGTTCAGCTAGCTATAAAACCAGATTTAATCCACCATTTTCTACACAAGAAAAATGTCTGTACCAAGTCAGGAATATGACAGTTGTTTTCAATTCCTTTGATGTGTTTGAACTTTAGATTTTGCTATTTGATAAGGGACTTTCCGTTTTGAATTTTCCTTGGGGTTCGGTATTTTTGCTATATTACTGTTTAACATGTATTTGGAACACACAAACTCTTTATAATATGGAAACGATTGCGCCTGATAGTTGTAAAAACATAACACAATTCAATTTGAACACAGATGGCATTCTCTGATAGACAAATCACCAATATCTATATATTACTGTAACAGATTATTTCGGCTTCGGAAGATTATTTGAATATCTGCAATAACAAAAATTTAGTGGAATTTTGTTGACTCAGAACAACATATCACAAGTTTCCTTTCGAATCTGGTAGATGGTAAAGTAAATTATATACGAACAGACGAAACTGAAATCTTGCACTGTGTACAAATGTAAACAGAATGAGTTTTACTATGTTTATTTTACGAATTGGAATTTAGTTGGATCCATAATTTTCCTGTACAAGTCAGAATTCCAATCTTTACTAGTAGAAATTCAAATTATGATTGATACTAATTAAAATCTAGTACCAGCTAGAATTCAAATATATACTGGTGGAAATTTGGATATTTATATTTGTACTAGAAGAGTCCTAGATTATACATTGCTATAGCCGATGATTTTGAAACAAGACACAACAAAAGAAATAATGTTTTTTTTTTATATTGGAGAAACTAATAGTTTTAAAACTTGTCTGAATCAAAAAAAAAAAAAAAAAAAAATATGCCCTATTGCCTATGAAATAATTTCATAACAGTGCCGTTTCCTAAAAGTCCTTACATCTTAGCTAACATTTACAGTATTCTTATATCATGTTAGGTACTTTAAAAGGTTTTAACAACGCTTTAGTTTACATGACTTTTTTTTTTGCTTTAGAACAATTGATCATATGATAGATACCTTTATACGCTTAAACACCTTAATTTTGGCACATTTCTTGGTAATTATAAGGACATTCTTATAATAATAAAATAATTTTAAATATTGTCTATCAGAATATTAACAATAATATTTATGTTAATTGTGTTTTCGATACAAAATTAAACCAAGATATGTGAATTATGTTTCACATTTATTATTCAGAAGGCAACTTTGTTAATGTACGCAAAATATGTTTTCCTGAACACTGCTCATTTTGTAAAGTCAAAATTGTTTGCTTATAAAAATACCATAAACACAATATTAGCAAATGTTGGAAGTCAATACAGTTGCAGTTGTATATATCCATAAAAGAATGTCAAGAATTTTAATGTATTTAACCATATTTTGTTTGTAATAAATAATTGAAAGTGGCATTTTATTATCGTTTAGTTTGTTTTTTAACTTATAAAGTACATCAGTAAAACATATATAATCACAAAAAAAAAAACAACATTAGATTAAGGAAGCATACTAAATATTGTTTAAGTAATATCGTGGATCTAAATAGAAATTCATTACAATCTAGAATTCCCCTCGTACAAATCTGATATCCCAATTTCTACTAGTAGATTAGAATTCTGTTTTGTGTTTTATTTTTTAATTCCAATTCGTACTAGTTGATAGAGGAATTCGAAATTCTGGATTCTACAGAATTCCTATTTGTACTGTAACTTATTCATTGTGTTATTTATATATTACTGGCTGTTCATTTTTACCATATAAAATAAATGAATACACCAAAATATAGCTATACTACACAAATATGGTAAAGTATAAATTATTGAATATGTTATCGAAAGAGAAAGTAAAACATTAACAAGTTTGCAAATTGATCAAAATCATAAGTAAACATGTAAGTACTAAGCTAAATCTAGGGTAAATTATGGAACGTCACAGCTGTCTTATGTGGTACTCTGATATTACGTTATGTTGTTTTATTATTACTTGATGATATTTTATCTTTACATAATATGGTTTTGACATTACGTAATGATGTTTTGATATAACTCAATATGGAATAGTCATTACTTAATAATATTTCGATATTACACGATATGGTTTTGTATTGACTTGATATAGTTTTGTCATTACTTAATATGGTTTTGTCATTACTCGATGTGGTTTCACCATTATTTAATGTGGTTGTGTCATTAGGCAATGTGGTTTTAACATTACTTGATGTGTATGTAGTTGTTTCATTACATGATGTGGTTTTGCTATTACGTAATGATGATTTGCTAGTTCTTTATATGGCTTTAACATTACGTAATTATGTTTCAAAATTTGACGATTTTACACTTCATGATGTGTTTGTTTCAGTATTTGATGTAGCCTGTCATTCTTTGGTATGGTTATCACATTACTTGATGAGGTAAAACCACGTGACCAATTCTGAAAAATTAGTAAATAGATTTCCATGTTTTTGTGTCTTTAATGAGTGTGGCCATCCATCGAGTTAGAGTTCAAATTAAAGTTCGGCTTACTGTTCGAGTTTAACTTTGAGTTAGTCTTCGATTTCGAGTTAGAATTCAAGCCATTATTAGAATTAAAGTTCTAGTTAGCAATGAGTTTCGAGTTGAACTTAGAGTTCGAATCACATTTAAAGGTAGAGTTCGAGTTACGATTAGACTTCAACTTTGAATTTGTGGTAGAGTTCGAGTTAGACTCGAATTTGAGTCTCATTTAGTTTAAGATTTTGAGTTGAGATTCGAGTTATCTAATATGAGTTCGTATTTAAATTTTCTATCGTGGATCAAGGGCTGTTGCTCGGGCTTCCGAAAAGAGGGCTCAATGGTATGCGTACAAAAGATAAACAATGTTAAAGTATACAAAACACAACATAGAAATTGAAATAAAGTTAGATGTGGTGTGATTGCCAATGAGACAACTTTACACCAGAGTTTAAATGCAGTGGATGTAAGCAATCATAGGCAACCGTACAGCCTTCAACACACCGTATAGTCGGCTACAAAAGGCCACCACGTGAAAATGTGAAACAATTCAAACGAGAAAACTACCGGTCTAATTTCTAACTAAACAATCTACGAAAAACAAATATGACACACATGAAACAACTACAACCATTGAACTACAGGCTCCTGACATGGGGAAAGCACATAAAGAATGTGCACGTGGCGGAGTTTAACATTTGTGTGAGCGCTAAACCCTACCCCAACCTCGGACTGTAGTGTAAGAGCACAACATAAGAAAAAAATGTGAAAAACAGTTTCAATTTGCTTAACTCAATAGATCGGTATGACTGGGTAATATAAATCCATCGGGGTGATATCGGGTACTCCGGAAGGGTCAGCAGACTATGCTCAATGTGTGGCACTCGTCGTGTTATTCGTAAAAGTACAAACCCAGTGATTTGGTTTTATTTGGTAGTTCACATTCGAGGAAAAGATGATGGCATTGTGGTTACGACAACTGGAACATATCCGTCGTCACCTGTGAAACAGATATTCCAAATGTTTTTTTTTTTTCAATTAGTGCGAGGTATATCAGAGAATGCAAATTATAAAAATAAAATATTGATATTCGTGTATGTTCAAATGATCATACACGCTAAAAAAAATGCGGAGAATTCTTATTTTATAGAATTGATGCTTTGTCGCTTAGTCCGATCCCCCTGTTTCCCTGTAACTTTAGTGTGAGTTAATTTAAAGTGTTTCATTTTTTAACAATAAATAATAATAAGTCTTTTGATTTGTGTCGAGCCTGCGACATTGATGTAGCAGCTGTGAGACACAACAAATCTATATTCCGTCGTCGATAGTGGCGTCGGCGTCTTCATCATTAAGATCGTTAGGTTTCTCGTTTGAATTGTTTTAACAGTTTTCATATCGGGACTTCTTATAGATTACTATGTGGTATGGGTTTTGCTCATTGTTGAAGACCATACAGTTACATATAGTTGTTAACTTATAAGTAATTTGGTATGTGGTTGAGAGTTGTCTCATTGGCAATCATACCACATTTTCTTTTTTTTATATAAGTTTTTTTTGCATTAAATATTATCGAATTAAACTGTTTTGACATGATAAATTTGTATACCTGCATGAATTGTTATAAAACTTGTATAGGAGTTATTCTTCAAGATCAAGATAAAGCATCTACAGAAAAACGTTGTTTTTTTTTAAATTTTGATTTTACCGATAAAAGTACCGATACATGTACAGTTAACATTACGCTTTTACACTGACAGCAGCAATATCAGGCGAGACACAGGGTTTCGTTGAATCTTTTACGAATATATAATAATACTGCTTCCTTTTGAGAACTAAAGAAAAAAACGGCAGGACCAAGTGGTTTGGGGATATCCCCCTTATGTCCGAAATACTGTTAATTTTTAGTTCTTTTTTCTTATTTTTGTCTGCCGTTCCCCTTTTTTATGCCAAATAACTCTGAACAACTCGAACTTTAATTTGAACTTTAGCTCAGTGGATAGCGATACTCATCCAAAGCACATTAAACAAACGACATATCGGTTTAAAAATAGAACATAGTTTTTTTTTCCGAAATGGTCACGTGGTTTTACCTCATAAAGTAATGTGATAACCTCATCAAAGAATGACAAGACCACATCAATTACTGAAACAAACACATCATGAGTGTAAAATCGTCAAATTTTGGAAACATCATTACGTAATGTTAAAGCTATATAAAGAATTGGCAAATCATCATTACGAAATAACAAAACCACAGCTTGTAATGAAACAACTACATTACGTTAAGTCACATACACATCGAGTAATGACAAAACCATATTAAGTAATTACAAAACTATATCAAGTCAATACGAAACCATATCGTGTAATATCGAAATATCATTAAATAATGACTGTTCCATATTGAGTTATATCAAAACATCATTACGTAATGTCAAAACCATATTATGTAAAGATAAAATATCATCAAGTAATAATAAAACAACATAATGTAATATCAGAGTTGCACATACGACAGCTGTGGCGTTCCATAGTAAATTCATCCCTGTGTTTGATGTAAAAATTTGTTGAAATGATAGTATAATCATTTTAGATTTTAAACATGTTTTTCTCTATCTTTTGCCAAATGGTGGTTTGTCGGGATTAAGGATATTTTTACACAGTAAAAAGTAATTTTATCCTATATGCCTTATTTGTAATGAAAAAATATCTAATAGGATTTAGATTTATTTGAACTAAGAGATATTATTTTCCTATAGGAAACCTTGATCACGTTGATCACCACAAATGTTGTCAATCCGATAGGAGAAATCATGTAAGAATATTTCAAAATCGGATAGGATTGTATCTTGAAAATCCAAAAGGAGATTGTCAAATCCTATGGGATATTAATATATCCTATTAGTGTAATACTACTTTTCACCTTTATCGACTAATCCAGTCCAGTATTTAACCGCGTAAAACAGTTTCTTTCTATCTACTGTTGTTATCCGAGAAAAAAGCACGAAGATGAATACACATCGTCATTAATAAGATCAGTAACTCCTAAAATGAGTCAACTGACAATTGCAACAATTTGATGTATTTGCACATTTGTTCCTGTAGATCATTTCGCCATGTATATTTACACTTTTGCAGATAATAACCAACATCGATATAAAAGATATTACAAATTCGTTTTTTTTTTAGACCTATAACTACTAATTTGAAATTATCGTCTGACTGTAGGTATTTGTTTACATTCTGATCCTTTCTACTCCGTTTAATTTTCTAACATAACATTAGACGATACTTGCATTTTACCCTCTATATTCTAATTTGGGCCTTGATATCCATTTTGATTGGTAGACAGAATGATCGGACATGTTTTGAACCAGATACCACAAGGACGCTTTTGGCTACGTATTGGTTTTAATTGGCTCAGTAGTGTCAGACGAGAAAGTTTTGTATAAGTTAACAGAGCACTGATGGCAACGGACAACAATGATGACGAAGGGCAACTAATAAGACGGACAAAGCCCTACGCCATGTGATGACAATGGCTTATACTGGCCATTTGGTCATGTTTTCCATAAAAGAAATGTATAACAAGATTTTCTGTGTGTTAGATTTCAGAAAAAAACATATTTTTGGGGGGACATAATGGTTTCAAACAACTCACAGTTTGGTTTTTTTTAAATTTAGGACTTACCATCATTCCGTAAGTAAATATTAACTCTTGAAATGTAGACTAATTTGGGAAGAAAAAAACCCCACCATGTTTTCGATTGATTATCAGCTGTAGATGAACATCCATCTCCCCAATTATTATTCGCAGGTCCTTCTATTGCCAGGTTTGCATTGTATGCAATGCCAGCTCCGTCTATATATGTTGTTTCTTGTGCTGCTGTTCCATTTAAAACCAGATTTACTACAAAAAAAAAAGATTAACTGTTTAAAAGGTGCTTTCTTTTCATTTGTTATTACACTTGTTCGAACATGTTGTTGTATACAGTTGCAAAGTTTTGTAACATGAAGGCTAAACTAGTCATTGTCGATATATTTTTATGGATACTGCCAATGAGTTAAACTATCAAATCAATGAAATACATCGTCTTTATCGGATGACATATTGTCCTTTCATTCAACATGTTCAACGAAGCCTTAAATGCCTAAATATAATAGGAATTTGTACCAAAAAAGATATACACGTCTAGTAGTTGTTAGGGACGGAATACTAATTATTGGTTCATAAATCAAGTCAGACAATAAATTAAACTTTATATTTAATCAGTCTAAATCAAACTACAAAAAGGAATTTGAACATTATGAAATGCCATGTTTCTGTATTGTTTATAACATTGGTGTTTAATACGTATCCAATCTATCTGAATGTAAAGGGACTGAATGCAAAGGAGGTTAAATAGATGGACAATACATTTTCAAAGATTTACAAAAAGTCTTGACTAGTTCTCTCTTTTATAATTGTCAGAGATTGTAATATATCTACAACCAAATGTAAAAAAATAGAATTTCAAGACATCCTTCAGACATCTGTTTGACACCGCGTTATTCAAACATATATGATTGTCTGTTTCTCCTCATTTTAAACATTATTGAACGTAGCAATCATACTTATTTAGGCTAAATTGATGAACATTGTTGCAACCTAATTGCAAAGATGATTTCTAAGAATGTAATTTGAATTATGATGCACAGCCGGTATTTCACAAATAGGTGACATATCTTCCCTTGAACACGTAAAAACATTGTCGTTGTCGATTCCTGTTTTTTTCCGTTAGATGTCGTTTTGTTTATTTTGTCGTTTGGTTGCTGTTTCGTTGTCGTTTATTGACACCCCTTTTTAATTTATATTCATCGAAGAAAGTTCTAATCATGCAAATATGTTCGGTATATCTTTTTATCACGAAAAAGCTTCTGGTCAAGTCTGGAAAATTTCATGATTGTTTGACCAGGTTATCGACTTCTACAATACATTAACGTAGACAGTAACTAAATATTAACTAAAATGGTTAAAAATACGAAAATTTGTAGAAACATATTGTTCTAGATTCAATCACATGATAATGAAAAAGCTTCTATCAGAGTATTGTAAAATTTCATAAAGGTTTGACCAAAGAGTCCTTTGTCTGACAAATTATTAAAATTGTTAAATCGTTTACCCCCAGATTCTACATAAATGTTGACTGCAAAAATACAATTTCATTTGTTAGTAAAATACCGTTCATAAAAATGAAATAAAAATAAAATTTTACACTGCATGGTATAGATACCTCTTGATAATGATGAAGATCCTGAAATTCGTTTTAGGTTTGAAAAAAGTTTGTTTCGTATAATAAACACTTAATGACGTTGACACCAAGTATTAACCTCGGCTTCTACTCGATCAAATTTCAGGGAGAACAAACTTACTATTCATTTTAGAATATTGCAGTAATTCGCTTCGATGTGATTTCACTCTTTTCAAAAATACATTCCACCTGCCGTGTCTTATGTAACCACAAACGATTCTCGTAATATATCATTGGAAGTTCAGAAATAAATAGTTATTTCATGACATATACATGTTACAATTGGCAAATATGGCACAATTTTGTTTATACTTAACTTACTCTGTGCTGTTACTGTCACCAAAAAGGTCTGTATGATGATTAAAAATACACGTGGTTGCAGCTTTACGATCATCTGAAAGTAAGTTTTATAATCATATAACTATGAAGATTATTAACACAATCAAATATCCTTACAGACATTCTGTTTTAACGGAAGCAATTAAATATTCTTGTAGCTATTCAAATCACCGTGCATTCCATGATTATATATCATGAAATTATTAATCCAAAATCAAAAATACACTTCTGCTAAAATTTGAAAATATTCTTTTAACTAAATAAATCGAAATTACAAGACAAACAAAAAAACGTTGCTCGCTAGTTCGTTACTAGAATGTTGCTAACCATCGAAATAGAGTTCGATTTGAATTTTGAGTTAAAGTTTGAGGTAAAATTTGAGTTATTCATCGAGTTTGAAAATATATTAATGCCTTTAAATAGTATAAGAAAAATGTAGTTTACTATTTGTATGTGAGTACTAAACGAAAATATAGTTGGGGAATCTAGAGGGTGGGGAGCCCTTGTGTCGTCTTATATGCTACAATTTTGCTAACTTTGTTATCGTTCCTTAAATATAGAACTAATCGACTTGCAGAAATTATTTGGGTAATTTTTACTTTCACTGGCGAAGGATATTATTATTATTGATTGACACAGTTTAAATTTGAATTTTTATTTATCTAGACCTAATTTGAATAAAAGTAATTTACTACTTGCAGCAACTTGTTAGTTAATTCTAAATCAACCTGTTACATTTTTCTTCTTAATCAGCATCTGAAGCAGTTAACCAGTGGCAGATCCAGGGGGCGTAGAGGGCGTAACCCCCTTTTTGATCGCCAAAAAAATTAATAATTTCTTTTTAAGTGTTTAAAATTTTCTGTATGAAGTTATATATTCCTACCAGGTACGACAATCATAACATATGTATACCATTAATATGTATTCATGTCGTCAAGAGGTTATAACAGCATATACTCCTGGTTTAACAGAGAGTTTGTGTTTTTGATAAATCTTGCTTAATCGATTAGAAGCTCTAAATCGCTTTAAATTTATATGAAAATGTGTGAATAAATCTAATCGAGACAGAAATATACAAATCACTATTTGTTTGAAGATGAAATTATCCTTGAAACAAAGGCAGGTAGTAATACAATGTATACATGTATATTGATATATTACCAGTAAATATTTATTTCAAAGTCAGCAAATATTTAGTAACAAATAACTATATTTTTTTTTCTATACACAACATGTCGAAGAACAAAATGTATTTATATCGATTTGGGAAAACCGCAAATTTATGATATATGAAATTGTACAACAGAAAAATACAGTATATATTCAAATAGTTATGTGTGAACCAAGGTCATGTGATACTATACTTATAAGTATGCCAGTGTGTAAACGTAATAAGAAACAGCTGACAGAACTTTCTTTTGATATCAAAATGTATCCGCAGAACAGAATGAACTCAAAATATGAACTTATTGTTGCACAGTGTATAGGTAAATATCTGAGTGCAAACTGTCAATGTAAGTTTGACATTGTGCATGATGATTGAATTGAATTTAAAACAAGTATGGTTGACTTTTATATGTTTTGGTTATAATTGTCACACGTGTTAGCTTGTTTAAATGTCTTAAAACAAACATATTGTTATCTTAATTCAAATTCAAATTGTTGCATGGTCTACCTAGAATTATATTCAACAATTTGTAAAGATCCGTTTAAATTACATTTAATTGATAAATTTAAAACACTTACAGTAATTGGTGATATTTTTGCTTTAAATAATCAAGAATTTTCGAATTTTACTGCGGGAATTCATCCAAAGGAAATTAGTTTAAATTAATCTAATACATACAGCAATACTTTTCTTTTTCTAAATTTGGATATTTCAGTTTCACACGCGAAACTCTATACAAAAATTTACGACAAAAGATACGATTTTTCGTTCCTGATTGTTAATTTTCGTATTTAGGATGGTGGTGTTACTTTCGACCCTTCTTACGGTGTGTATATATCACAATATGTTCTCTTTGCCCATGTCTGTAGTCATGTTTTAGATTTCAATGAACGTAATTCATGTATAACTGATAAATTATGAAGTCAAGGATTTCGTTAACAAATATTAATTAAAACCTTTTCCAAATTCTTTCATAGATACAGATATTTAGTTTTGAAGTTTGGCTGTACCTGTAGATTTCTTATCAAAAGTGGAATATCACATCCTAATGTTTACGGCGATATTGTTTATAAAGCCCGTAAATTTAGATACGATCCATGTAAACTAATTGATCCTATGAATAAAATTATTTTTAAAGGTTACGAATTAACCACTGTGACAGTAGTAAAATCTTTAAAGATTGTTTTTATTGGTTTAAACATTGATTTTGTTTTTGAAAAATTGAACCATGATAACTAAATATATATTGCTATATATAATTCTACATCCTGTCGATACTGTTAACTTATATTTGGGCATTGCACAAAGTCATGCATTTCTCAGACTGTTTATTACGTCTTCACACTAAACCTGTTGGATGTGTATGGATTGATATTTTAGTCTGGGATAACATAATTTATCTTTTACTGGTAATTGGGTTTGAGTAACTGCGAGTACTCTTATTTCGGTGCTTTATGTCTATTGTTTTTATGTTCGTTGTTTTTGTGCCTCATACCGATCTTTTGAGGTTAGCCAATAGCAACTGGTTTTTACAGTTTGTTCTTATGTTGTGATGTAACACAACTGTCCAAGGTTAGGGGGAGGATTGAGCGCTTACAACATGTTTTAACCCGCCATATTCTTTATGTGCCTGTCCCAAGTCAGGAGCTTTTAATTCAGTTGTTGTCGTTTGTTCATGTCTGTCATATTTGTTTTATTGTAAACTGTTTTGTTATAAAATAGGCCGTTAGTTTTCTCAATTGAATTGTTTCACATTTTTCATGTCGAGGCCAAAAGTTTATAGCCGACTACACGGTAGGTGTTTTTTCCCTCATTGTTGTAGGCATTACAGTTGCCTATGATTGCTTACATCCACTTCGTTTGAGATTTGAAGGATAATTGTCTCATTAGCAATCATACCACATCTCCTTATTTTTCGTTCCCAATTCAATATATCGCTTATGTAAATGTTTCATTCCAATTATGCAAGAAAAAAATTAAGTTAGAATAATCCTTTTTAAAAAAAGAATAAGGATAAGCGAATAAGGAACGAATAAGTAACAGGGTGTCAGTCGAGCGTGGTAACGGTTACATACGCGCTAATAGGGTAATTTCACCTCTACGAACCAAGGACTAAAACCAGAGACAAGAAAAGAAAAGAAAAGAAAGCATTAAAAAGGTGCAACGTATAAAAATCGAATAAGGAACAAATAAGTAGCGAATGAATAACAGGGTATCAGTCGAGCGTAAAGACGGATACATCCGCTCTAACAGGGTAATTTCAACTCATCGAACCCATAGCTAACACCAAAGACAAGAAAAGAAGAGAAAAGAAGGCACCAAAAAGGGGCAACGTATTAAAACGAATAAGGAACGAATAAGTAGCGAACAAGTAACAGGGTATCAGTCGAGCGCGGAAACGGGTACATACGCGCTAATAGGTTAATTTTACCTCCTTAAACCAGAGTCAAGAAAAGATAAGAAAGCATTAAAGGGGGGCAACATATTAAAAGCGAGTAAGGAAAAAATAAGTAACGAATAAGGAATAAGGAATCAGTATCGAATAGGTAAGGAATAAGGAATAAGGAATAAAAAATAAGTAGCGAAAAGGAATAAGGAATAAAAAATATGTAACGAATAATAAATAAGGAATAAGTAACCAACTTGACGACCCTAAGGGTCGCATCAGTCCATTCCATTATTCAAAATATCTATTCCATTATTCAAAATAGGCTATTTCGTTATGTTCACGCGTATTTTGGCATTTATGTCTTCCGTAAACCTCTAATGGCCATTGCGGCACATATTATTTATATACATGTTGTTTCTTTATCAATAAGCTTTCGAATGGTGTATAAAGTTTTTCTGTAATTAGGGTCTGAAGGGTCACAGCAGTCAATTCAATTATTCAAAATATCCATTCCATTATTTAAATTAGGCTATTTCTTAATATTCACGCGTATTTTTGGCATTTAGGTCCTCCGTAACCCCTCTAATTGGCATTGCGGAACATATTAATTATATACCACGTTGTTCCTGTATCGATACGTTTAAGAATGGTGTATAAGGTTTTTCTGTAATTAGGGGATGAAGGGTCGCAGCAGTCCATTCCATTATTCAAAATATCCATTCCATTATTCAAAATAGGTTATTTCTTAATGTCCACGCGTATTTTGGGATTTAGGGCCTCCATAACCCCTCTAATGGGCATTGCGGCGCACATAGGTTACATACCTTTTGTTCCTCTATCGATAAGCCTTCAAATGAGGTATAACGCATTTCTGTAATTAGAGGAAGAAGGGTCGCAGTCGTCTATTCCATTAATCAAAATAGGCTATTTCTTATTGTTCATGCGTATTTTGGCATTTAGGTCCTCCATAATCCCTCTAATGGGCATTGCGGAACATATTAATTATAAAAATGTTGTTCCTTTATCAATAAGCTTTCGAATGGTGTATAAAAGTTTTTTCTGTAATTAGGGGCTGAAGGGTCACAACAGTCCATTCAATAATTCAAAATATCCATTCCATTATTCAAAATAGGTCATTTCTTAATGTTCACACGTATTTTGGCATTTATGTCCTCCGTAACCCCTCTAATGGGCATTGCGGAACATATTAATTATATAAATGATGTTCCTTTACCGATAAGGTGTCGAATGGTGTATAAGGTTTTTTCTGTAATTAGGGGCTGAAGGGTCGCAGCAGTCCATTCCATTACTCAAAATATCCTTTCCATTATTCAAAATAGGTTATTTCTTTATGTTCACGCGTATTTTGGCATTTAGGTCATTCGTAACCCCTCTAATGGGCATTGCGGCACACATTGATTATATACCCTTTGTTCCTCAATCGATAAACCTTCGAATGAGGTATACGGCATCTTTGTAATTAGGGGCTGAAGGGTCGCAGCCGTCCATTCCATTAATCAAAATAGGTTATTTCTTAATGTTCACGCGTATTTTGGCGTTTAGGTCCTCCGTAACCCCTCTAATGGCCATTGCGGCACATATTAATTATATGCATGTTCTTTCTTTATCGATAAGCTTTCGAACGGTGTATAAGGTTTTTCTGTAATTAGGGGCTGAAAGGTCACAGCAGTCCATTTCATTATTCAAGATATCCATTCCATTATTCAAAATATCAATTCCAATATTCAAAATAGGTTATTATTTAATGTTCACGTTTATTTTGGCATTTAGGTCATCCGTAACCCCTCTTATTGGCATTGCGGCACACATTGGTTATATACGTTTTGTTCCTCTATCGATAAGCCTTTCGAATGAGGTATACGGCATCTCTGTAATTAGGAGCTGAAGGGTCGCAGCCGTCCATTCCATTATTCAAAATAGGCTATTTCTTAATGTTCACGCGTATCTTTGCATTTAGGTCCTCCGTAACCCCTATAATCGGCATTGCGACACAATCGACAAGTTATATCTATAATCAGGGGATGAAGGACCGCAAAGGTCCTTTACGAATAAAAAATCCAATGTATAGTATTTTAATGTTTATATATGTTTCGGTATTCAGGTCGCCCATACATTAGAAAAAAGGAATTTCTTTTAAATATAGTTAGGCAAACCCACTAGTTTATCTCCCGAAATAAAATAAATAAATAAAGATCAATTATTCAAAGAGTGTTTTGAATTTGTTTTTTCTTATATTAATTTGAATATATGTTAATCGACATCAAAATCATGAAAATGACGAATTTAGAAATACGGGATATAGTGTCACAAGTAAAAAAAAATAAATGATCTATTTCATTATTCACTTTTCAACTTGAATACTGAAACATAAACTATTTCATTATTCATTACTGAACGTTTAATAGTGAATAATGAACTATTTCATTGTTCGTTATTGCATTTTGAATAATGAAAAATGAATAATAGACGTACTTCAGCGCGGTCAGTAAATTGGCCATATGTCTTAGTTTAAGTATGTATTTGATACTTCGAATGGAAAAATGACATATTTCAGTAGACACAGTTGTACAAAATGTATAAATTCATCAAAAAAGATAATGATGAAAATGATGACAAATAGCCAAATCGTGTAATATTTATGTAATATTAGTTACACACTGTGATAGTGAACAATTACGATACATACACCATGTACACGGTCAATGTATCCCATATTGGGTGTGAGCGAGTACAGTGTGTACTGATATTTTATGCCGAATATCTTAAAACGGGGAGTTTAGATGTTGTTGTAAACATGCATATGTTTCATTTGTTGTAAAAGTGATTAATAAGAGTCATCAAACATTAGTTGGTGTCTGATGGACTATAACAGGGATCTAGTCTTCCGTATTAAGAACCTGCGTGCACTGGTGTTTACAAACAAATACCAGCAATAACAGCTGTGTATTTAAAATAGACACAGCCCACTAACCGTGTGTTTAGAACAGAATATGCCCATTACCAGTGTGTTAACCCATGATATTCCCTGAAAGTTTATAGAAGATAAGTACACATATATGTTATAGTACAAATTGGAATTCAGTAGGATCAAGAATACTCTTATTGTAAACTGGAATTCCAATGTATACTAGTAAAACTTGAATTCTGTTTGATACTTTTTAAATTCCAGTACAAATAAAATTTTCAATACCTACTGGTAGAAATTGGGATATCCAGATTTGTACTTCGAGGATCCTAGATTTTACTATATGATTACTTAACAAGACACTATCAAAGAAATATTTGTTTTTCTTTATAATAAATAAAATAATGTAATCAGACTTGTCTAAATCAAAAGGAAAAGGTAGGGCAAATTTTCTATGATTTTATCTAACAGCAGACCCTTTTCCTAAAACTCCTTCATTCTTTACTAAAATTGACATATTAAGTTTATATGAGATACTTACATGTATAGGTTTTTTAACGGCTGTGTACATCTATTTCGTAACATTTAATCAAATTAAGTTTATATGAGATACTTACATGTATAGGTTTTAACGGCTGTGTACATGTATTTCAGAACATTTAATCAAATTAAAGTTATCTATATATGGTTAAGAACTAAAATTTTGGCACATTTAGCGTAATCATACAACCATTTTTTAAGCAAAACCATTATGCTATTGGAAGTATTTTAAATATTGTCTATCAGATAAAAATTAGTTCGTTAATTTTAATGATGTCTTTCGATTCAAAGTTTAACAAACATATGTTAAATTGTCAATCATGTTTCAAAATTTATAGTCGGTAGACAATCTTATTAATTTTAGCAAAATCTGTTTCTCTGAACTCTGTTCATCTTATAAAGTAAACATTGTTTGCTTAGCAAAATACAATAATCGAAATATTAGCAAATATATCATAAATTAAAGAAGTTAATGAAAGTTTATGCATACTTACAGACTTTAAAAATGCAACACACATTTGGGGATTTATTTTACCAAATTATGATTATACATGTAACTCATGTAACTGCTATTCATTCTTACCATACTTCATCATGTTTGGAAAAATTCAATACCTTATTTACCTGAGGTAAATAATTATACCGGATTATTGACGTCGCACGAATTCTTAAAGCTATATCTGAAACCAATGAACGATTTTTTAAGGTTATTGTTCTTCGTGAAACCATACCCATACCTACATCAGAACAAAATGTTGCATTTCTATATTACCGCGACTTAGCAAGGCAAATATGAATCAGGCCATAAGAAAATTACAGGCAGGAATACGTGGGCGTGCTTTTGCTAGACGAATGCGAGTCAGAAACTCCTCTGATTGTCATTACAACAATGGTACAAGCAGACGGGATTTATTGATGACCGTCCATGACCAGATTAATAGGTATATATAATACCACGTCAATAAAATTCGATTACGCATTTGTGAGACATGTTTTCGGCCGCAACATCAACTGCTAATCGAATCACCAATTGCCATGGCAGACATCGTACTGAAATCCGAAAGAATCGACTGCTGAAAAGTATTTAAAGCCCTTAAACTGCATAATTGCAAAAAATACTGTATTGGGTGGCCAAAAGCCAAATCATAAGGTTTAAAAACAGAACTCAAAATATGCCCAAAAGAAACTTGTCGATCTTTCTATCAATCATATTATCGTTTGTAACAGGCGATCATTTCCTTCGACTATGATATTATTTGATAAGGGTAAAACCAGCGTTTCTGTGCATACCACATGATTTGAACGTTAAGCATGACGTAATCAATTCAACTTTCGAACTGCAAACAATTTTTAGTCAATGAAGTAATGAATACAATTTAAACATTTATTTTACAAGAATTGCAAATTTGAAATGAGAATTAAAAAGAATAATCTAGTGTTACATTTTTAAAGTCCGTCAGTTTATTTTACCATATTTTCTTTTGTAATAAAGTATATAAAGAAGCATTGTAAAATTGGTATCATTTATTCGGTTTTTCTACTTACCAATAGTATCAAAAAAAATAATGAATATTAATAAAAATCCAGTACAATCAAAAATTATACTAAAGATTGATTTATTAATATCTTGGATCTTACTTGAAATTTAGAACAATTCAGAATTATCCCAGTACAAATCTGGATATACAATTTCTACTAGCAGATATTCGATTTGTACTGGATTGTAATGAGTATTAATAAAAATTCCTATTTTGATAGTAGATTTTCTGAATTCCAATTTGTACTGTATCATATCTCTTTTGTAATCATCAACATACACATAGTAATAAGTACATTTGTAGTATAAACTCATTCAGATTTCAAATCTTTAATCATTTGGTATGCGAATAATCTGAATTATACATTATTCATTATATTATAATTATGATGATTTGATTTCAAATCTAACTTGTTTGTATAAATTTGTATTTTGTGTGTTTACTGTCTCTAAAAACTGTTTAAACAGTATGTATTGGTTCTTTGTTCTGTTTTCTAAAAGCATTACACATGTTACATGAAGAACAGATAAAAGGTTACCTTCATTGAACAAGAACAACATCACATTATACCCACTAGCACTGTTACCCAGGAAGTACAAGACATACTGTTTCTATATTTACACCCGATGTGGATGTCTTAAGAAGGTTCATTGTATACATAAAGCAGTCAGGCATACATATATCATTTTAATGTCAATAGTTTTAGATTTAAATGTAAACGAAATCCTTGAACGTATTCTCAAAATTGAATGATAAATTTTTGACTAATGTTAGTTAATACAAGTTATCTGTTTGTCGCATGTGTAATTTTTTCATTTGTTAAACTTTGGATTGATGAATCATGTACGCTTGTTATAGTATATTGGAACACATGACGTTGCGATAGTAGTGGTAAAAAAAAAGTAATCATTGGATTGAGACCAATTTATTTTTAGTATTGAAATATTGTAACAGCACTATGTGTTGATGAAATTTAGCAATTGCCGCTTTAGAAAAGTATTTATGCCAATTAAAATTCATCCATCTATAACCCTTTCTTCTTCGCAACTTTAAACACATGCCTCCTTCGGAATAAGTACGCCAAGTTTAAAAATGTCAGATATATATTTTCAAGGACATACGATCAGACAAATATGCGCGATGTAATACACATTACGTAACCTTTGTACAAAGGGATGCAGGTAGACAAAATTGCGGAAGTAAATACGAAAAATGGTCTCTAAATAACCGAGATATCCCATTGGTGTTTACTCTTTCATTCGAACGTTGAAAACTACATTTATGTAATTGATAGCTTCCTTGTTTGAAATGATCTATAATAAAAGACGTCGATGAGTAAAACCTGACCCTTGCTTAGCTTATTTCGATATGCTACTGTTGTTTTAGAGATGGTTATATACCGCTTCATTATTTAAAATATTAACAGTCGGTATTCTGATATGCAATTCATTTACTCAAGAATTGTCACTGAATTGAACATATATCAGCAAGTTTGTCTACACAAATGTACACTAAGACTTTAAACTCAATCTCTCTGTATGGATGTTAAATAAATACACGTATTATGTCTTGTGTAACAGTTATTGACGGTCACAAACAGACATCATTTCTGATTTGTTCTTTGATCATATCCATGTGTAGCTGTGAAAAAGAACGAAGTCCATATTATAATCCTGCTACTTAGTGATCATCAGATATTTACCATGGCAAATTTGCCGGATATCGTTTGCTTTACAACCTTGTTGTTTTCGTCAACAGCATGAATGAGCAAGTGCAACTGTTGTCAAAAATGTTAACGATTTTGAATTCACTAGTATCTTGAATTTTATATTGATTTGTTAAACTAATACAAGGACTTCGTCCTCTACTAGAATAATTTTATAAAAAGATATGCAAACATTCGTATGGTACTCTGTACACTGTTTTTGAAGCAATCTATTATGCTTTGTAGTACATGTAATCTGCATTTAGAAAGGTTAGAGTCACGAAAATACAATAACACAATGCATAAGTTCGTACAAAAATCCCTAGTATTATTATATCTCATATATTTATCGCATTGTACATCACACACAGCACTTCCAAACATTGCGTTATTTTTTCCTTGTTATATTTTGTGGACACGCTTGTCTTTCCGTTTTTCATCGTCTTTTGCCATGGCAATGTCTGTTTTCTTCGACTTATGAGTTTTGAATGCCATCTTTATATCTCCCGTCTCTTTTTATAGCTTTCTCCTCGGGTGTATTTTGATATATTAGGCGAGTGACATTTTTCAAAAAGACACTAAGTTAAGGACTTTAATGCACCTACCTAACACACGGCTGTATTATATATCATTCGAAAGCTAATTATCTGTTTTTTTCTGTTTTGCATGGTCGTAAAAAAATTGAACGGTGCATTTTTCGTTAAATCAAGATCAAAAGTCAAGAATAAACATTCCAGATTTTTGTGATTATTAAACAAAATGCCATTTTCTAGTTCTTTTACGATACAATTTTCCAAACAATCATATGAACCTTGTAGAACAAGATACAGTTATTCCAAATCAACAAAAATTAAGAGGTTACTTGCACAATTTTACCCGAAAAATTGCAATTCTTAAAAAATCCTACAAAAATGAGAAAAATACTCTAAAAGCAAAATATATCTCGGGGGCTCGATATTTGTATGCTCAAAAATGAAATCAATGTATGGATTTTAGGTCAAGGAATATTTTTTTCTTAATTTTTAGATGCAGTTGATAAACAATGTTCTTGGAATAGCCTTCTATTGAAGTGTTTGCAGTTGCCCAAAAATCTTCCATCTGCAAATGGCGATAATTTTGCTCTTGTATGTGTAGATAGCATATCGCTAATTGTCAATATCAGGGAGGACAATAATTGTCGATAATATAAGTAGGGGTATGTAAAGTTTGAAAAGAAATATACGAGCTAATTGATGTAAAAATATGTTTTTTTCGAAGTCGAACTTGATTACCTTTTGAAGTCATGTCAAACATGATTTTGCGACTAAATCGGTAGAAACATTGAAATAAGTAACCAGCAATCAGAAACACTTTGTGGTCTTGCGCGTGATAAAAACGAACCAGAAAACAATGCTGCTGCTTTTGTTCTAAAACGTTTAGACATGTTAAATGTGTTCAGAAGTTTAATATAGTTAAATATGCGAGCGACATTTGTTTTCCATTCGTTTGATGTGTTTGAGCTTTTGATTTTGCCATTTGATAAGGGACTTTCCTTTTTAAATTTTTCTTGAAGTTCGGTATTTTTGTTATTTTACTTTCAATATTCGAATGAAATCTGTTTTGAGTGAGTTCACCATAAGCTTTTAAAACACAAAAGCAGGTAATTGTGTATGTATAGAAATTATTAGTAGTTGTGTTATTAAATATATGAAAGGTTGAATATCATTCCTGGCCACATGAAATCATTCTCGGCTTTATGTAGTGTTCTTTTCTACATTTCAGTTCTGTATTTTGTGGACTGTTGTTTGTCTGTTGGACTTTTTGTTTATTTCGGTCCTGGTGTTATATTAGCTTTTTTGATTCATGGTTTAAAATTGTTCCCTGGGTATCATTTTACTTTAAAGACAATTAGTTGCAGTAGTGAAAACCGCCACAAAATCGCCTCACAGTAAAGTAAAGAGGACTAAACGCAATACAAAAAACTTCATCGAAAATAAATTAATTTGCTCACTGGGATATATAACCAATTTGTAATCATGATAGATTCACCCACAACTTTAAAAAAAATTACTTAAAGAAAGGCGAAGGATATCAAAGGGACATTCAAAGTCATAAGTAGAAAACAAACTGACAAAGCCGGGGCACAAAACAAAAACAAAGACAAACAACAGTATACAAAACACAACATATAAAACCAGAAACTAAACAACACAGATCCCACCAAAAACTTGGGAAGAACACATGGGCTCTGGAAGGGTAAGTAGACTCTACTCCACATGTGGTACCAGTCGATTATCTCATGTAAGAACTGACCCGTTGATACGTCTAATTCGATAGGTCACATTCTCGGTAAAGAGAACAAGATGGTGTTTACGACAATTGGAACATATCCGTAGTCATCTGTGAGTCAGATGTTCAATTAAGGTCAACCAACTCATAATGGCGTCCATAACATTTTCGAAGGGATGATTTCAGCTTGACAATTTGAATTCTAGTGTAATAGCTTCCCTTTATCAAGAAAATCCTGTAAGTAAATGCAAGCTCTGGAATATCGTATCAACTTCGGAGATATATAGTTTATATGTAGGCGCTGCTGAAATGTTGTTACATAGAAATGGAAAGTGCTCAATTGGGAAACTGAATATAGCTCTTTTGTCGTTAATTTTTTTTCTCAACCGACCATCATTGTCAATTTCGAGATGTAAGTTAAGACATGGGATAGGCTCAACTGTATCTGTTATATCCTTTTATCAAGTTCGATGAAATATATGCGTTCAACATAGTCACCAAACTTTGAATTATTCAGTGAGAGAATATCATCTATATAGTGGAAAGTGAAGTTGAAAGATAATGATATCTTCTTTTCTTTCTTCATAAGAAGCCCTTGTATATATGAAGTCAGCCCCATATGAATAAAGGAACGAGCCATTCAAACTATTCGGGAAGTCTAGTTGTAACTAGAATCATTGCTAATTAATAGATTTTTTTAAACCAAATTATTCTTTTTAATTTTGTGCGTTCGAAGTGTTGTTCTTGATTTACCTTCACCGGGAACGCTCAAAACCAAAGTTTTGAAAGTAAAGGGTGTATAACTACTAGAAATCGTGCGGAACAATAGCATGAAAAATACATTTGAGGTCAATTATGTTTAAGGGAGTTGGGACATAAGTTTCTTAAAAATTTCTAAGTTCATTTACAGGAAATCAAAGAAAGTTAAGATAAAGAATGAATTCAAAGTAAATGTACCTGCAACATTGATGCTTGAAAATTACGTATCATTACATGTATATGGTTTCTTCTTGGATGTAACTTGAACAATTCCATGTCCATAGTTTTTGCATTATTTAGATCTGCAATGTTTAAAAAAAAATGCTGCCATTTGAGAATAGTGGTACCAGGGTAGACATACTGACACATGCCTTATGTGAACTTAAATGCAACATTTCTTTTTTTACAGAAAACCATCAAAAGCTATTGCTACAATGTAACAGGCTACCTAATTGCCGCTATGTATGCTACATATGTACGCGTCAGCTCCTGTGCATGCACCATAAGAATACACACTTGGTCAAAATGACAATCTTGGATAGGACACAATCGATAAACTTACAGATTACTCGACTATTTTGCTATCTAAAGTTTTAAGACCGCAAATACATTTAACCAGACACATCCACGTTATCAACAATTGTATAAGGGTGACCGTAAAACTTTGTAGTGTTGGTTTAAATCGTTTTCCCCCTTATAACTCTGTTGGAGCACACCCCTGTTAATACAGTCAATAATGAATAATGATTAAAGCTTGGAGTGTTCGGTTGACTATATTGAACTTGACATAATCAACACCAAACGCGTGAGCACATTTGATAGTCTAACATATTATATAATTATACAATTAAAGTTCGAAATGCAATGAAAGTCCATTAATGAAC